CACTCCCGCACTAAATTCATCCTCAGTCCGGTTGACACGTGCACTTGTACGACGTTGCTTCTCAGTTAGTGCGGCAAAATACGCCTCATCCAGCTTCACTTTGATGTTCCTCAGCTTGCTCCTCTCCCATGAAAGTTTTCTGACTTTTCGTGGTGTTGGGCCACCCCTTGGTTCTACTGCCTCTTCTTCGCAGCTTTCCTCTGACGACATATAATGTAATGCGTCTGGGGAAGACAGAATTTCTCGTGCCCTGTTCTTGTCTCCATCAGACAGCACTGTCGAGTTGTCCAGAGTAGACAGTCGTCGAGAAAGTTTCTAAAGGGAATAAAAGATCGAGACAAGTGAGAACCTTGTCGGAGCACTTTTGAGAAGTCAAATAATTGCTAAAATTGCCATAACTACCATTTCAGTGACACGAAAAGCTCGATTATGAGCTTGCTAAGATTGAAATAAACAAAAGACACAAAAAATAGCCACGTAGCTCAAGCTTTGGAAGAAAACCATGTTGACATTGTAGCAGTTAAACATCAGCGGAGGCAACTGATTTAATTCACGCGCAGAGTTGTTACCAAGAAAAACTAAGAACGGTTTTAATCATATTTTCTCTTGTTGTAATGGATTTAAGTGACTTGTCCTAAAGCATTAGAGACAAAGTAGTAAACGTTAACAATCTGGCCTTATATACCCTCTTTAAACGATTGCTTCGCTTGATTCGCCGTCGGTGCCTCTCAAAGCTGTTGTTTGCTTTCTTTGTTTTATCATCTCTTATGGATCTCCAATGCTGATGAACCGCAGCTAATTCAAAACAAATAGACTATATTGGTTGACGAAGGATGCTGTCGACACTAATTGGTAGAAATTACTCCGACAAAAAGTGGTTGCCGCCCAATATCATTATTTAGCGATAGCACCTTACAGCATTGGCAGCTATCGACTCGCTTTAGAAATTGACTTGTGTTCAAATATAGCTTCAACCGTTTCAATCCGTCAAAATCGGTTTTTGGAAGCAAATTTTTTTTTATATAGCTACACATCACACAAGCAATCTCGCCGCGACATACCGTACGTATAGTTGAGGGCGAATCACGATTTGAATCGATGAATTTTACTTGTTAGTCAGCATACTTAGATTTGCTACAGGTAGGGTTATGACGCTAATTTGACGTAAGCCTACAAGCAGTCTCTCTTTTGCTCTAAGGAAAGCCAATGAGGACAAACAAGAAAATAAGTAAAAGTATAAATTAAAAAATAAAAATATAAATTCTATATGGCCAGCTGGTATCTTATTGGAGGAGGTTCCACTGCTTTTGTTAAGAAATTATGAGGCTTACCTTTGATGGTTGACTTCCTCCACTTCTTCTTGCCGTAAACTGCCCACACTTCAGTTAAAAGTTTCTTGGCCAAGGCTTGATTTGATGAACCGTCCAAACTACACATACAACGGAGAAAAAAGGAGGAGATTAAGAATAGAGAAACGATAGCAAGAAAGATAAATTTTTGAAATGATTGTCCAAAACATGCACAGGCCGCGATGAAACAGTCATTCACATGTGCATAGAGCTAGACGAGTTA